CCAAGATAAATGGCTCGCTAGAGGCTTGCCCCCCTAGCCCCCTCTCTGCTTTCACCATCCTGTTGACAAACCATATGGAGCCAAGCTGAGACCTGTGAGAGCCCTGGAGATGGTCACACCTCCATAGGATCCACAAGCCTGTGCACCTACTGACCTGTGATCTTCCTACATTTTGCATCATTGCGCGTGCTGTGTGAGTCAGAAGAGGGATTTATGGACCAGTATCAGACTTATGGGTTTATGTGGACTGGGCTGGGATGTTTTCTTACTATACCATTTCTCTGTGCTATAAAGCTCTTTCTTACACATATATGAGTGTCTCTGGATTTGTTTCTCTAGCCTAACACATTTACTCACAGTCATCCAGGCACCCGGTATATGGAACATCTTATTTATTCTTTCATCTGTTGGTGGAAACGTGGGTTGTTTCCACTTTGTGCTTATTGTGAGGGGAAATGCTGGGATGAACATTGGTGTATCTGAGTCTCTGACTCCATGTTTGTAATTCTCTGGGGTCTGTACCTGAAGTGGTATTTCTGAATCATATGGTAGTTCTATGTTTAATTTAGGGAACTGCTGCCAATTTGTTTTACATCAATTGTATCATTTTACTCTCTGCCAGCAGTGGATAAGGGTTTATTTTATCCATATCCTCAGCCACGTTTTATGATTTTTCGTTTTTCAGATAATAGCTATACTCACTCACTGCCATTAAATCAGTTCTGATTCACAGTGACCCTGTGGGTTTCAGAGACTTTACATCTTTAAAGAAGTACGCAGCCTCATCTTTCTCCTGTGGAGTGGGTGGTGGGTCCAAACCACTGGCTTTCTGGTTACCAGCTCAATGTGTAACCCACCATGCCACCAGAGCTCCTTAATAGCTGTCCTAGTGGTGTTGAAGGATGCTTGGTGGTAGGTAAACAAGCAGACATCTAGCTGAGAAACAACAAAGCTCACATGGAAGAAGCACACCAGCCTGTGCGATCACGAGGTGTCAAAGGGATCAGGTATCAGGCATCAAAAATCTTATCGTTGTGAATGAGGGGGACTGGGGACCTAAAGCCCACCTGTAGGCAACTGGACACCCCCTTACAGAAGGGCCGCGGGGAGGAGACAAGCCAATCAAGGTGCAGTGCAGCAACAATGAAACATACAACTTTCCTCTAGTTCCTAAATGCTTCCTCCCACCCCCTTCCCGCCACTATCATGATCCCAATTCTACTTTACAAATCTAGCTAGAACAGAGGATGCACACTGGTACAGATAGGAACTGGAAACACAGGGAATCCAAGATGGATGATCCCTTCAGGACCAGTAGTGAGAGTGGCGATACCTGGAGGGTAGAAGGAGGGTGGGGTAGAAAGGGGGAACCTATTACAAGGATCTACATATAACCTCCTCCCTGAGGGACCAATGACAACAGAAAAGTGGGTGAAGGGAGGCGTCGGACAGTGTATGACAAAATAGTAATGTATAAATTATCAAGGGCTCATAAGGGATGGGGGAACCAGGAGGGAGGGGAAAAAATTAGGAGCTGATGCTAAGGGCTTAAGTGGAGAGCAAATGTCTTGAGAATGATGAGGGCTACAAATGTACAAATGTGCTTTACACAATTGATGTATGTATGGATTGTGATAAGAGTTGTACGAGCCCCCAATAACATGATTTAAAAAAAAAAAGATGCCTGGTGGTAAAGTAAGTTATATGTTGGGAGGTCAATAGTTCGAGACCACCAGCCACTCTAAGAAAGATGAGTAAAGAGTTACAGTCTTCAAAACTCATAGGGACAGTTCTACCATCTTACAGGGTCACTCAGAATCAGAATTGGCCCTTTAGCAGTGAGTTTGGTTTGGGTTTTAAGTGGTGTTGAGATGTTATCTCGTTGTGGCTCTGATTTCCATTTCCTTAATGCCCAATGACTTCAAGCATCTTTTCACGTGCGTATTTTCCATTTGTATAGCTTCTTTGATATACGATCTGTTCAAGTCCTCTTCCCATTTTTTAATCTATTTGTTATGGACTTGGGGGAATTCTTTGTATATTTTTAATATTAAACCCTTAATGCATATATACTTTCCAAATATGTTCTTTCAGTCTATAGGTAATCTCTTCATTTGTCAGTAATCTGAGATCTACTTCATTATAAGGCAACTTAGATATCTGAGCTATCTAATTTGAAGTACAATTGTTCATAGTACTTGTGATCCTTTATTTCTCTAAAATCTCTTGTAATGTTCACACTTCCACAAGTTTCCTGTTTCTTTAAAAATCACCCCAGGGTGCTTATCACTGTGCTGCAGACATTGTTGTTCCCAAATAAGTGACTAGTGTGTTCATTCCCACCAGCCAAACTCTGAGCTACTCATCTGTTCAGAACGTTGGTCAGAAGCTTGGAGACTGTACAGGAAGTCGATGCCAAGGAGGAAACTTTAAACTCTACACTGTTCTGAATTGTGCTAAATTCTCTCGATTGCCTGGTGCAAACACAGGACCACACCACCCAATGGGATTAAATTAGAGGCCTTTTCCAATGTGACAAAGATACGTTTGTTTACATGACAACTGCAGGATTCCCCCGCAGGAGATACAGGCCATGTGGAAAGCATGAGCACGGAGCTCACAGCTGTTCGTTTCAACAGGCCACAGTGGACAACTGGACAGGCCACAGTGGACAACTGGTGAGGATGCAAACCATTTTGTATTGTGTCAGGCTTGGATGTTGTTATTTTCCTAGTAGCTTCCTTGTTCATGATGCAAATTTGATCTTTAAAAATAATTTTTCAGGAAAGATCTACCGTATGTTAGCAAAGACTTGGGCATTTTAAATATAAAGTGGATAAGATGAAAATGTCCCAAAATCTAAAGGTTATTTTCTGAAATGATCAAGGCATTAACTCCACTTTCCTCCCGTGATTCCTACCAGATTCTGTGGTGAAATTAAACATTTGTAAGACGCTAGGACCTAGTTCAGACACATTCCCAGTTGCTGAGAAATGTTCAAAGAAGAAAGAAAGCAAGAATTAGCATTGTCTGCCCTAATTTTTTTGCTTTCTGTGTGTGTATATATAATATACTATTTTTCGGTTTTTAAGCTGATGGAACAACACTGTCTTTGGAAGAACTCCTTTGTGGACAAAGCCAGTATCTAAAATCGATAAAAAGCAGTATACAAGGGGTACCCCCCAAAATACAGAATTTTTTTTCAAAGCTATGTATTTAAATTTTTCTTTTTTTTACAAAGCAACCTTATCACCTTCAAAGTACTCTCCATTACACTTAATGCATCTGTCAAATCTGTGATTCCATTCTTGGAAACATTTTTCAAACTCCTCTGTTTGGATGGCTGACAGAAGCTCCCTCGTTTTTGTCATCACCTCTTCTACGTCATCAAACCCTGTCCTTTCATGTCCCTCTTTATTCACAGAAACAAAAAGAAGTTGCATGCGTGAGGTCAGGTCAGTAAGGGGCATGGGGCAAGAGAGGCGATCTGTTTTTTGTCAAAAACTGGCACCCTGAGATGGCTGTGTGAGCAGGTGCATTGTTGTGGTGGCAAAACCAGTCCTCCATCTGCACAAATTAGGTATTTTTTGTGGCATACTATCAATGCAATCTTTTCAGAACCTCTAAATAGAAAACTTGATTAGTAGTCTGACCTGGTGGAACAAACTTTCAATGCACTACTAGTTGACATTTTCGTCTGTTCAGGAAATTGACGGACGTCCAGAATGAGGTGGGTCATCATCAACATTTCACCTTTGTTGAATTGCAAAAACCACTCGTACACTTGTGTTTTTCCCATAGTGCAGTCCTAGTAAGCTGTGTTCCATATCACAACAGTTTCTGTAGCATTTGTGCCAAGCAGGAAACAAAAATGTCCCAGCTGCATGCTGTTTTCAAATCAGCCATCATAAGAAAACAAGGATCAAGCAAAATTGCTTTTATAAAAAATTTCACTGTGACCAAAGAGAATCTTCCCAGTTGACACCACTGGGTGCACTAACTCAGCAGGTTGTTCGAAGCTTCCCAGGTGCAAA